TGGTGGAACCGACCTTCGAATCTCTTCACCCAACACTTCTACTCGAAATGGAAGTAATCCCAACAACTTGTCACAATAGCCATGCTAACTTCCAGCACCGGAGCTTTGGCATAATGCCATTATTAGCCGTTTGCCGACATCGTAGTCAGCGATAGGCGTCATAAGTGGAGTATAAAGTATACATATTGAGGCGCAATCACTTTCGTCATCAGTTTCGTATTCCGTCAACAGGGTTTCCTCATCCCAATTGATTCTTCATTGAGATAGCTACTTTCTACACGTATGTCGACTGATCCTTCTCATCTCATCGGACTGGAATGTTAGAATCCCCTCGAAGATGTGCTAAAAAAGGTAAGCTAGCCTCATTAAGGTCGGCTTTCATAACGGAAAGTTACCATTTCTGGAGGCAAAAGATTTTCGAGCCATGGATACCCTTAAAAATAAGGTTGTTTACGAAGAAATCCAAATCTCTAGTCCAAGCATAATAACTTGATACGAATCGGAGTGCTCAGGTGTATGATCGAACGAAGCATAATGCTAGCATATATGAAGTTCTGAAAGGATGAAGTAAACAAGTTAGCTTAGACGTCTCTTGTGGACATATATTCAAAGCAAATAATACAACGAAATAAGCAGGTGGTGCTGAGCAGATGGCAGAGAAGGGGAATATGAGGGATAAACGAGGGAGATGGGGAAAAAAACTTGATATGTCTACCCTCGTGTGAACTGGTCGAAGGCTGTTGCCGATGCTATTGAAATTAGTCGCAGCTTGAAGTTTGCGAAATAAATTATTCGTGAGTTTATTGCATCAAGTGCAGAAGGACTGTTAACAAGACCACTGGTGACTGCAGAATCGTGAGCTTAGAACGACAGGTGGTAGCCGAATAGTAAAAAAAGTGTGGCGTCATACGGTGGAATACAAAAAATTTAAGGTCAGGGAAGCTGTGGCCATCCTTTTTCAAAATAACCTAAAGTAAAGGTGAGTGTAATAGGTAAGAGTCGTACGGAATTTACTTGATTGCTTAGGCAAACTTAGATGATATGATTTCACTCTATTTCGTTGAAGGTAACAAGAAGACTGGTAGCTGAATTCTCCTACAATTCTAAGAGTATAACTTAAGTTTTCATTGAATTTCACATAGCCTTGCTTCCCACAAGGTATTCTAATTCAGGCTGGAGTGTATTACAGTTTCGACCTCGCCTAAACTGGCTTCCTCAGCACCCCCTGCGGGACTCGAACCGAGAAAGTGCTGCATGTAATCTCGACACGTTACCCATTACGCCAGGCTGCCACGAGTGCCCTTGTGTCACAGGGAAGATGTGCATTCCAAGCAAGGCCAGGCATTTTCCCATTTCACATTCTTTGGTGGGATTGTCTATGAAGCAAAATTGTAATTGCTACAGCAATAGACTAGATTAGTTATTTTTTGCTTGTATGCAGCTTTTTAAGACTAGTTTATCATGGTTTGAGTCCCACTGGGGTGCTGATGAGATCAGTTCAGATAGGATGGTGATTGTAGTCCACTTCTGCCTTGATGAGAATACCTTTTGGGAAGCAAGGCTACGTTAAATTCGATTAAAATCTAGGGTCTACTCACATGATTTCGGGAAAATTTAGATACCATATCACATTAGGCGAAATAGAATAATCTCGAAAACGAGCATATAAAGCGAAAAACTTAGATGAATCCGGAATTCAGCAAAATTTGTTAAAATTTGAAGTTTATCTCAGAAGCATGTAATCAACTACGGGAAAAGGCATCATCTTGAAGAAGATCTTAAAGGATAAATGGAAGGCAAGAGAATGCGATTACAATGTTAGACATCTAATCTAGGGACCCTCTTAAAAAGTGCCCCACTTGTAGGCACCTCAAAGAGTTCTCACAATCGGCATAATAGGTTACGATTAGGCATGTGAATTACAGGTAGTAGATCCAATTGAGTGTTGCCACAAAGGCTGGGGCATGATCTATGCTGGTTTCCAGTACACATGTTAAACGATAGGCTTTGGCCACTACATTGTTGCTTGCCGTCTTTTATCTTTCGCCCTACAACGGTTGGTTTCCCTGTCACATGCACAATTTTAGAAAGTTCGACGTCTTAAGTATTCCAAAGGGTTCGCGTCGGCCGATCAAATGCTAGCCACCACATTGATCCTATTTATTGAGCCAATAAGAGGATGGAAATCAAATTACGTAGGGATAATTCATCAGAATACGCCCTAGATTGAATTCTGACTCCAGTCTGTCCTAGCGCCACCTGTTCTCCTTGGGATGCTCGGAGATCCCAATCTCCTACTCGTACACTTTCTTTACGAGATACTTGGTTGGTCAGTTTTTCTTTCCTGGTCGGGCTGGGTAACTACATTGTCGCAAGGAGGCAAGCGCGTATTTTGGTGACATCTGTTTAGCTAGTAAAGCATCACCACCAACTTTTGTGCACACACAAAAATGAATGAAGTGGAATCTCAGGAGTTGGACTAAGGCGATAAAAGGTAAAAATGAATTAATGATACTGAAGCTCCACACCTTAGTTGATCCAAAGAATTGTAACGCACAAAGTGGCGACTAGTTGATCGGGGTTCATAAGCCAAAAGGATTTAAAACGATTACAGGAGTGAGAATCGCAATTTTTGGCGAGATCTCCTCGGTTAGCCAGCTTATACGTTGCATTATACATTCGGATGGAGTTATGTGGATAAATTCTCGAGTACGACTTAACGGGTGGTTGAGATTGAGATAGTATATCTGACCAGCCAAATAGGACACAAAAGAACAGCAGACAAAAGTTTGGAAATCGAAACCCATTAAACCCATTAGGAGGGCCCCACACTTGGAAGAGATTGGAACAAACAAAAGTACCGAGAAGTGTATGAATGCAATGCCTATGAAGCATCTGGAAATCTGCAACTTTAATTATATTATGCTGGAAATTATCATAATTACTGTGACAGAGAACGCAAGACTGGGTACTTTCTACAAAATATTCTTGTCCTCTTGAACAAGTTGCGAAAGTAACGTCCCGCCCACTCAATATAATTGAAGGAATCTGCGAGTAAACCAAATGCCACATTAACTTGGTTTTCATGTCTAATGGATTTAGAATCTACTGTTTATAGTAAGCAAAGCGTGAAGTGTAGGATTTCATGTTTCTTATGCAGGCAACTTAGGAAGTAGCTAAATATTAGGTTTTAAATCGGTATATCGGTGGCAAACCACAAAGAAAAGCTTTTGATATATTTTGATTTCATATAATTTCATACCGATTTTCAATGGACAAGTTGTTATTATTCCATAAATTGTTGGTTAGATTTATCGAGGATAATTTTGCCTTTTGGAAAATTTTGTTTATTAATGATTTTCCATTGCCCAACAGGAGGTTAATAATAGGTTTGAGACAATTATACTCTACAAATTTTAGAAGTTTTTTGCTTAAAGGTTGTCAGGATTCTATGGGGCGAGAATATTAAGGGTTAAGTTCTACGTATCAGACTTAAGTAGAGAAAGTTTAAACATTTATCGCTCTAGAGCTGAATAAGGCATAGTCACATAACCTATTTACAACATAACCTACATAAAGGTGTACTCATGGGCCGTGCCCTACGTCTGCTCAACGTGACAAATGGGCTGCTGAACTGAAAAGTGTTTGTTGAGGCTGTGGGGCAGATATCGTGACGAGAAGTGGCTGAGACGGCCTCATAAGCTGGACATGAGGCGATGGAAGCGCCTCAGATTTATCGGTTTGGTGACTGCAGTAAATGCGCTGCAAAGCGAAAAATTAAGGAGTCAGCTACAGCCAAGAGAATAAGGAATCTTTTTTGATGTGTATGGTTATCGAGGCCACAATTAATTCTTTACTAATAACTTAGTTAGCCTAGGCTACTCAATGTAATTTGAGGACTTATAGTTGGGTTTTCCCACAGTCAGATGAGTAAGCCTCATTTAAGTCGCAAGCATAGGGAAATCGTCGATTAAGCAAACATGTGCTTTCCATTGAAATCGACGAGGTTACTTATTTGAGATATAAGTAGTTCTCAAGGCTATCACTAATACTTGAATAAAAACTAAGTCATCCCAAGTCATTTAAGGTTACTCAACTTGAAAGTGACCAACATCTTCGATTAAAATATCAAACATAGATTTGTATAATGGATAATAACACCTGCCCTGCGATTCACACAGAGGTCTTGTGGCCATGATAATCACGACTCGGTATCAAATCCCATTGGGAGTGCGAGGTTGAAACTGCAGTCAATCCTGGGGAAGAAGAACTTTTGGGAGGCAAGAATAAGGTAAATTCAATGGCATGAAGCCTATTAATCTGACTGTAGAAAAGCTCAACGATCAGTCCTTTAATTATCTTAAGCGACCTGGAGTGACAAAGTTCTTAGATTAGCAACTCTAATGAATCTAATGAATGGAGATAGGGAACTAGGCAAGAAATATTTATACCAGATTGATAGACTCTCTAAATATCCGAGTTCGCAAAGGATATTCATCAAAAAAGCATGGTTCCTTAATGCCCTGGCGAGATGTGAATCTTTGTTATAATTACTTGTAACTATCAATCAAATCTTTCACACAAACACGGGGATTAAATTGAACTAATCAACTCATTCTGAATTCCTCGTTTTGTGTAGTATATACAGCATTGAGGGACAAGCTGGTGAGTTTTTCACAATCGTTATAGGGTTGAAGTTGACATAGGAATCAGGCAAAGCTCTAAGACTCTCTATCAAATGGAGCAACAGACAAAATAAATCCTCATAAAAAGGGCTTTTTAGACTAGTTTCCTCTTAAACAAGTGTACAAGGGCCCGTGCTAATTTGGATATGCCTGCTGGGGTTTATTGGTTCTAGTTATCTTATCACTCCTCGGGTTACTTGCTATCTGCACTGACGAGTGGTCCATACTGAGCATTCATGAATCCTGTAACGGGAGTATTGAGAACAAGACGAGGGTGTCGATTGCCGGTAACAAGGATCGGCTACAAAAGTGTATTGCAGTTGAAGTGTGCCTATGGAACATATCCAAGGATAGAACTGAGCACTTATTCAACGGGACTCATGCTACACGCAGATACGGAGGCAAAAGCGACAATTCAGAGGAAAAAGATTTAAACAGGGATTTTTTCATGCAAAGTTATCTAATCAGAAAGAAGCTGATTCTTCATTGGAAAAGTTAGACAAGTTCTGTGACTCAGCACAAACAATCCTTTTGTGGCTGCCTATTTTATAGTCTGACTCGTAATCAGGTCGATGTAAACACGACAAAGAAAGAGCATTTTAACCGCTCACCGACTCGATTCCACTTTGGAGTCCTCACGCATCCTCCATTGGATGAAGGGTCCTCGAAGTTTCAGGTAGCTCAACACAAACTGGAGGGCCTTTTCTGGTTTGTAGTCGACGGCAAGGGAAATTTCATAGGAGGACGGCATTCTAATGTACTTTTCTACGGCTGGACATGTAAAAGAGAGATGGGCGAAAGGCAAAAAGGAGAGTTAATGGTACAATTATCCTGTAATGATCCGATTCTGTAATGTTATTTCACGTTCTACATTGTCATGGTAGCCACCCTGATGACCAAAATGCTGTTCATGCAAGAAGGGCGAATTAAGCCGATGCGCAAATGCATCGAGGAGAGAGAAGCCTAGTGCCGTGAAAAGAACAACTCCGATTGGGAGGCCATCCTAGTCGACGTAATACATGAAGA